ATACATACATTCATTTTTTTATATATAGATTTTAAAATTACTAAAATATTTCAATGCTGAAATTTAAAAAGAGATTAATATTATTAATTAGCGCAAGAAGCCTAAATTCCCGTGTAAAAAAAAAACAAAAAAAAACAATAACCAGAAACAAAAGTGCGCAGGCGCGATCCTATCGGCGCCCGCCGATCGTCGTCGCTTGCCACCGCCGTAATACCTTTTTAGCGGTAAAGTTGTATGTAAAAAAAAAAAAAACATTTAAATATTGAAATTCAAATTTTAAAATGGTCGAACTATCGGAAGTGTCGTATTATCCATAGTGTCGAATTAGGGTTTGTTATTTGATAGGCTGGAGGTCGGGACATCAGAACATGGTCGAATTATCGCCAAGTGTCGAAATGATGTGTGACGAATTAATGAGGTTATACTGTATTAATTATTTATTTGGTCATATTATCTCGTGTAACATACCCTCAAAATTTCTATGCATTTTTGAACATCTTAGTTTTTCTAATTTCACCTACCTGGTGACGATTCATTTAGCTTGAACCCTTTTTAATTGGATTTTTTGAAATAACATTAAATCTCAACCCATGTGATTAAAAGGCTTTATTACCAGATGTGGATAGAACTTATTTAAAAACTCTAAATGTTGCTTTCTCAAAGAACTTTTAGTATGTCTATTTTTTTATTTCATATATGCCCTTTTTTGTGAGCAATATATTCCCATAAATTATTTGAAAGGGAAAAATAAATTTCGGGTAAAAAGTTTTTTTTAATTTTGGTTTTGCAGCTCCTGAGCAAATTTTTTGCTCTCCAACAGGCAAATATTTTCATGTACAATATCAAAATGAACTTTATACATAAACTAGCCGAATGACCCGGGCAACGCCCGGGGTTTACCCAATTAAATGCTTTTATTCAAATACTATTCATTACAATTATAAATTGGCGCCGTGGATGTCCATCTTGTATAATACTAGCCGAATGACCCGGGCAACGCCCGGTTCACCCGATTAAATGCTTTTATTCAAATACTATTTGTTACAATTATAAATTGGCGCCGTGGATGTCATTCTTGTATAATATGTAAATGAGTTTAAAAATTGTAAAAAAAAAAAAATGCATCGGCCGGGAATCGAACCCGGCAGGCGAGCATTCTACAACTGAAACAAAAGCAAACAGTGACAGAATTAAAAACGCATGACAATGATAACTGTGTATTATCCGTGACAGAGGCGGCCGATGAGGAAAGACGGTCGTGACTATATATAGTAATAATCCAAACTGTACCTTATCATGGATGTGGGCTTGGTACCTTGTGTTTATAATCTATAATCCAAATTGTACCTTATCATGGATGTGGTCTTATTACCTTGTGTTTATAATCTATAATCCAAACTGTACCTTATCATGAATGTGGTCTTGTTACCTTGTGTTTATAATCTATAATCCAATTTGTACCTTATAATGGATGTGGTCTTATTACCTTGTGTTTATAATCTATAATCCAAACTGTACCTTATCATGGATGTGGTCTTATTACCTTGTGTTTATAATCTATAATCCAAAATGTACCTTATCATGGATGTGGTCTTATTACCTTGTGTTTATAATCTACAACGCCTGGGGTTTACCCGATTAAATGCTTTTATTCAAATACTATTTGTTACAATTATAAATTGGCGCCGTGGATGTCATTCTTGTATAATATATAAATGAGTTTTGAAAATTGTAAAAAAAAAAATGCATCGGCCGGGAATTGAACCCGGGGCGCCCGCGTGGCAGTCGAGCATTCTACCACTGAACCAAAAGCAAACGGTGACAGAATTAAGAACGCATGACGATGATAACTGTATATTATCCGTGACAGAGGCAGCGACAGACGGTCATGACTATATATATTAATATAAATGAGTTTTAAGAATTGTAAAAAAAAAAAATGCATCGGCCGGGAATCAAACCCGGGCCGCCCGCGTGTTCTACCACTGAACCACCGATGGTTATGAGAAATGGCCATATTTGGGTATTTATTTCATTCTCAAAAGCAAACGGTGACAGAATTGATTGAGCAGGGCAATGCCCGGGTTTTACCCGATTAAATGCTTTTATTCAAATACTATTTGTTACAATTATAAACTGGCGCCATGGATGTCATTCTTGTGAAACGTCCCTCTCCAAATTTTTGTCTGAGAAGCGATATTTTTATAAAGAGATGATCTGGATTTGTGTCTTCTGCTCGAATGAATGTTTTTCTGTTAGAATTTTGTTCCTGCACACTAAAAATTCCAGTTTTTCTCTATGTCCTGTCAAAACACGTTTTACATGTACATTGGTCAGCTGATATTACCTCCCATCTTCACCGCTAGGGACGCTGCTTGCGAGCAAAAAGGCAAATTTGCAACGTAATTTGCAAATAATTCGAAGAATATTCGGGATAGAGACCTGAAATTTTCACTATAAGTTTTTTCAGATTCTACTCTATATACTGTTGAAATTTCAGTCAGATTAGTTACGTATTGTGGACGTGTATAGCCGACATAGATACCCACATACATACATACACTGACTTTAATATATATAGGGATTAGCGCATGAAGCCTAAATTCCCGCGTAAAAAAAAAACAAAACAATAACATTCGCGACATTGCGCAACGGCACTGCAAAGTGAAACTTAAATTAACAAAAACCAAAAGTGCGCAGGCGCAATCCTATCGGCGCCCGCTGATGCCGATCGTCGCCGCCGTAATACCGTTTAGCAGTAAAGTTGTATGTAAAAGAACATTCAACTGTCGAAATTCGAATCTTTAAATGGTCAAACTCTCGGAACTGTCGTATTATCGATACTGTCGAATGACGGTTTGTTATTTGATAGGCCAGAGGTCGGGACATCAGAATATGGTTGAATTAAGGTAGAGTGTCGAATTAACGAGGTTATACTGTATGTGAAATTATGTTTTCCTTTATTTATAACTCCATTTAATGTAAATTGACAAGAGAAAATTGATTTGAAATTTGTTTGGTTACACTAAATTCTTTAGATAATCTCTAAAATTTATATATGATATATGCCCTGCCCTCCCTATACCAACTTTTTTAGTCATATAAACATATCCTTTATGATAAGGAACAATTTGGATTATAGATTTGAAACACAAGATAATAAGTCCAAATCTAAATAAATAAATAGTGTGTGATGTTTCAGTAACAAAACTGTTACTGAAACATCACACACTACAGTCAAACCTCTTTAATTCAACACCCCAAGGGATCAGAGCTTACGGTTGAATTAAAGGAAGTGTTGAATTAAAGTTAGATGATTAGCTAAACATCTAACTCGCTAAAATTATATTTTTAAAAAATAGATTTGTAATATAAATTAATAATATTAATTGAAACCATTGTGTGTATAATTTTTTGTATTTTTTTTCATTTTCATGATTAACTTTTAGTATAAGGGACAAAATGGCATTAATACATATTTTAAAACAAATAATTATAACAAATAAATTTACTGGCAATGTGTTTCTTTTCAATAATATAATCAAATATTATACCTACATACCTCATTAAAATATTTAATAATATTTTTTTATAATTGAAGAATATATAGCAGTTGAAAGTAAATAAATTCTGTGAATAAAAAGAAAATTTAAAAATATTATTTATAAATAATCATGAAGATCTTATAAAAAATTCCTTTATAGTTATCCGTTTTTGCGCTAAAACCCTATTCAGGATGTATTACAAATGGTCATTTTGAAAAAACATTCATGCCTTTTTTCCTCTGAAATGTCTTTTAATAAATAAGTTTTATTGTATTATATAGGCATCCACAGCTGCTGCAGGTGTTATTGATTTTGTGTTTAAATCTTTTATAATAATAGGGAAATGGAATATTGAAATAAAATGTTATCATAATTATTGTGGCTACATTTTATAAATATTTATTCATACAAAAAGAAATTATTTATAAATTTTAAAATAACTAAAACATTTCAATGCTGAAATTTAAAAAGAGATTAATATTATTAATTAGCGCAAGAAGCCTAAATTCCCATGTAAAAAAAAAAACAAAAAAAAAACCAATAACACTCGCGACATTGGGCAACAGCACTGCAAAGTGAATCTAAAATTTACCAGAAACAAAAGTGCGCAGGCGCGATCCTAATGGCGCCCGCCGATCGTCGTCGCTTACCGCCGCCGTAATACCTTTTTAGCGGTAAAGTTGTATGTAAAAAAAAAAACATTCAACTGTCGAAATTCGAATTTTAAAATGGTCGAACTATCGGAAGTGTCGTTTTATCCATAGTGTCGAATTAGGGTTTCTTATTTGATAGGCCGGAGGTCGGGACATCAGAACATGGTCGAAATATCGCCAAGTGTCTAAATGGTGTGTGACGAATTAACGAGGTTATACTGTATTAATTATTTATTTGGTCATATTATCTTGTGTAACATACCCTTAAAATGTATATGTATTTTTGAACATCTTAGTTTTTCTACTTTCACCTACCTGGTGACTATTCATTTAGCTTGAACACTTTTTAATTGGATTTTTAAAAATAACATTAAATCTTAACCCATGTGATTAAAAGGCTTTATTACCTGATGTGGATAGAAATTATTTAAAAACTATAAATGTTGCTTTCTCAAAGAACTTTTAGTATGTCTATTTTTTATTTTATATATGTCCTTTTTTGTGAGCAATAGTTCCTCAGAAATTATTTGAAAGGAAAAAATAAAATTCGTGTAAAAAGTTTCTTTTAATTTTAGTTTTGCATGCTCCTGAGCAAATTTTTTGCTCTCCAACAGGCAAATATTTTTATGTACAATATCAAAATGAACTTTATACAAAAACTAGCCGAATGACCCGGGCAACGCCCGGAGTTTACCCGATTAAATGCTTTTATTCAAATACTATTCGTTACAATTATAAATTGCCGCCGTGGATGTCATTCTTGTATAATATATAAATGAGTTTTAAAAATTGTAAAAAAAAATGCATCGCCGGGAATCTACCCGGTCGCCCGTGTGGCAGGCGAGCATTCTACCACTGAACCACCGATGGTTATGAGAAATGGGCATATTTCGGTATTTATTCTATTCACAAAAGCAAACGGTGACAGAATTGATTAAGAAAGGGCAATGCCCGGGTTTTACCCGATTAAATGCTTTTATTCAAATACTATTCGTTACAATTTTAAATTGGCGCCATGGATGTCATTCTTGTGAAACGTCCCATTCAAAATAAATTTGAGTCCCACGCGAAAAACCCGAACCATGGAAGACCTCCCTGCACCAGAAGCCCCCAACACTAATTTTACCAACCCCAAATACCCGATAGGTACCCGTAAATATTCAATTTGGAAACTTCCAGAATGTCCAGAATTAAAAAATGAAGAAGATTCTCAAGCTTTGAAGAAATACTCCGGCGCGGTCGAAACCACCTTTGCTGAGCTAATAAATTTTATTGACTTTTACGAAAGGGAACTGTGCGAACTGCGCTCAAACTACCTAGAACACAATACTACAAAAGCTCCCGCGAAGCGCCCAAGAGAAAAATCACCAGTAGCCTCAAAAGAAACAACAACGTAAAAAAACAACCAGGTGCTCCAACCAAAGGTCACAAGGTAATCCTGAGCCAAAATTACAAAATAAACAGCCTGAAAAACCTCATGAAGCATAAACAATCGAAATGGAAATCGAAGTGGCACCAAACAAAATGCCAAATCATGAACAAAACCATAAAAACTCTAACTCATCAAAGAAATCTAATGAAACATCGATTAACAAATCTAACAATCCCACCCCTAACCCCAAGATCAGAATACCATCGATTAAAATAAGCGGAGTAAAGGAATGGTCAGGCCTTAGAGATGGTCTTATCAAGTGTACCAAACAAAAGCCAGAATTTTACACATCAGGCTGATACATCAACGCTCAGACTCACACAACATCAGACTACTGGACAGCTACCAAGTGGCTGGAAGATCGCCACTACACCTTCCACTTCAAGATCCTAGACGACGAAAAGTGCCTTAGAGTGGTCGTCAGAGGTCTCGACCGCTGCATCACCATCCCCGAAATACAAGATGATCTGGAAAACAAGGGATTCGAGATGTCCAAACTTGCAAGATTACGAAATTCAAGAACAAAGGAAGAGCTACCACTAATCCAGGTAACCCTTCCTAAGACTGCAAGAAATAAAGAAATTTACAATATCACAGATCTATGCAACATGAAGTGCAACGTCGAGGTTTACAGGGCTCCCAAAGGCCCCAGGCAATGCCATAGGTGCCAAAACTTTGGGCACTCTCAGTTTGAATGCAGGGAAACTCCCAAATGTGTAAAATGTGGAGAAAATCATTTCACATCCGAATGCGCCAAAGAAAAAGAAGTACCACCTAAATGTGCAAACTGCCAGGGTCAGCATACAGCAAGTTGGCGTGGTTGCCCACTATACAAAAAATAAATAAATAGAGTGCCCCAAACACACCCAAATTAATAATAAACCAAACCCCAATACAGAAAAAGAAAAATCCAACCCTACAGGTCCAAACCCTTCTGAAATTCCCCAACCCACTCAAAACAAGAATAAAACTCCATATGTCAATAAAGAACGTCCCAATTCTCCTTCAGCCACTAAGGTCAACCAACTAGAGAGCGCTATTAAAAAGGCTCTCAGTGACCCCGCAATAATAGCCAACATCATGAAGAACGTTGTAGACACCTTAAGATGTAAATGAATCACAAAAATATGTATAAAAATAGCCTTCGAATCGTTCACTGGAACGCGTGCAGTCTCCGAAACAAAAAACAACAATTCTCAGAATTCCTGAACGACCACGACATCGACATCGCACTAGTGTCAGAAACCTGGCTTAAGCCGAGCCATAAAATGAGGATTCAAAACTTCATCACCCTCCGCAACGACAGACTAACCGGACAAGGTGGTGGAACTGCCATATTCATCCACAAGAAGTACAGCCATGCACCTATTCATGCCACCACCTCAAGCCTGGAAACAACAGGAATTTCAATCAAAAAAAAAAAAAAAACGGGTTAAATATGAACCTGTATTCGTGCTACAAACCACCAAACACCTATCTAGATTTAAAAAAAAAAACGATATCTATAACATTTTTTCAACGGACACACCGACCATCATAGCAGGGGACCTAAACTGCAAACATCCTGCCTGGGGTTCCACCACCACTAACTCAAGCGGGAGAAGGCTCCAAAACGCAATCAACGTTATGGACCTAGATGTGAGCTACCCCGACGAACCTACTCATGACTCACCTCCAGACATCATTGATATCGCCGTGCACAAAACATCTTCCAAAGCGCGCATACTCTAAAGTCCTGCACAAACTAACCTCTGATCATCTCCCAGTACTACTTGTGCTACAGGATTTCAAAATCTCCTACTCAAATACAAAAATAAAATTTACAGATTGGGCCCTATTCAAGTACAAAATGGAAATCGCTGAACCTCCTGAACTGATCCTAGACACATCTTCAAAAATAGACGAGGCCATTACACACATTGAAGAACAAATGGTGCAAAATTTGAAAGATTCAACAAAATATAAGGACCCGGAACTAGAACGAAGATATCCACCTCACATTAAAGAAAAAATACAATCCACCAACAGGCAAAGAAAAAAATGAAAAAAAACCTGCGACCCCAGAGATAAATCAGCCTACATGACGGCCCGGAGAGAATCACAGAAACTTACAAGAGAGCACGATAACACCAGCTGGGACCACTTCATTGAAAACTTGAAAGTCACGGACCAAACCATATGGAAAGCCATCAAACGATTATCCAACTCTGAAAAATAAGAAATAACACTGAAGACAAACAATGGGCAGACACTAACCACAGAAGAAGCAGCTGAATCATTTGCCAACAACTATGAAAAACAGTTCACCCCCAATCCCTATACATCCCACTCCAAACCTACTCGTACATACATCAAACGTGTGAATTCATACATGAAAAATAATAAAGAAACAGGACTAGAACCAACAAACATTGGTGAAATAAAAGCGATTTTTGAATATCTACCAAATAAAAAAGCTCCCGGAATCGACGAATTGCCTAATGAAGCTCTCAAACTGCTCCCTAATCATATACTAGCATCAATAACCCAAATCTTTAACGCTTCACTACAGCTTGCCCACTTCCCTGACAGATGGAAAACGTCCATTATCTGTCCGATACTTAAAAAAGAAAAATCCATGCATGAACCAACAAGCTACAGGCCCATTCCGCTGTTACCTGCCATCTCAAAACTATTCGAAAGAATTGCTTTAAGAAGACTCAGAAAATCCCTAGAAGAAAAGAATCCACTCAGACCTGAACAATTTGGCTACCAAGCCAAGCACTCAACATTGCATCAGATAGTTGTTGTCACTGAAAAAATAAGAAAAGTCATGGACCTAGGCCAAATAACAGGAGCCGTATTCTTCGATATAGCCAAAGCATTCGATAAAGTCTGGCACGAAGCCCTTCTCTACAAAATGTGCACAAAGCACCTTCCTGGAGACATCATAAAAATAACGCAAAACTTCTTAACAAATAGAACATTCAAGGTACGAGTCAAAGACAAACTTTCAACAGCTAGGAACATCCTTGCCGGGGTCCCCCAAGGATCAGTCAAAGGTCCAACCTTATTTGACATATATATAGACGACTTCCCCTGTATTGAAGACACTTATTTACACCTATTTGCCGATGATACCGCCATTTTAGCCTCGACATGCGACTTTGACAGACTCCACATGAAACTCCAAGAGGCCTGCATCTTTTCCACGCTCTGGCGTAAAGAATGGCGAGTCACAATGAACCCCCAAAAAAGTGAAGCAATAATATTCTCCAGAAAAAAAAGACAAAATTAAGAAACCTTTAGATGAACTTTTTGTCTTCGAAGACAATATTAAATGGAAAGAGAACATCCGATACCTAGGGATGACCCTAGACGAGCACCTAACCTTCAAAAAACACATAGAAAACAGAATTAATTTGGCAAAAGCTGCCCAACACCGATTATCCCTACTTCTAGGACCGAAAAGCAAATTATCCCTTCATTGCAAAAGAACCATTCACACATCAATAATAAGACCAATACTCATATATGGCCACCCCATTTTTATGACAGCACATAAGACCATCCTTAAAAAGCTAGAAGTCTTCGAAAATAAAATGATAATAAAAATCATGTCTCCACCCTGGTTCGTTCGGAACACAATCCTCAGGAACGATCTAAATATCGAAAACATCAATGACTACATTATTAGACAATCATTTAAATTCTATGAAAAATCCGAAAAATTAGTAAACCCCACCTTTAAGAAAGCCACACTACAAATGCGGAAAAAGGAAAAAAAAAGAAATTTAAAACCTAGACAAATTCTCCATCATTTAAGCCAGAATGACGAAAAGTGGAAAAAAAGGAAAAGCAAACCCACCTTGAATATCAAACAAGCCAGAAAAAACCTTCTCAAGAACAATATTCCCAAGGACCTGAGAATCCGGACCCAACGACATCATTATAAATTATAATTGTATATGAACCCCTGTAGATAACCACCCCCTCAGTATATTGTAAATATGATGATCTAGGTTGCTCTTTTTGAGCGGCACCTAATAAAGTTATTTGGAACTGGAAACTGGAAGCGTCCCGCTCCAAACTTTGTGTCTGAGAAGCGATATTTTTATAAAGAGATGATCTGGCTTTGTGTCTTCTGCTCAAATGATTGTTTTTCTGTTAGAATTTTGTTCCTGCACAATAAAAATGAACTGGCTTCACCCGTGGTCTCAGCTTTTTGACAATTTTCCCGTTATAATTTTGTATCTGATAATCAAACATGATACAGCAATATTGTCATAATCATTTTCTGACTAAAAAACAAATATTTTTGCCCAGAACCTGTCAATTTTATTTTTTATTGGCTAAAAATCCGAAAAATATATTTTCCAGATTTTTCTCTATGTCCTGTTAAAACACGTTTTACATGTCCATTAGGTCAGCTGATATTACCTCCCATTTTCACCACTAG